CTGTTACTGATATCTAGTATCATAGCATTGTGGTCAGAAAAGATACTTCATACAGTTTCAATTTTTAAAAATTTACTAAGGCTTGATTTGTGACCCAAGGTATGATCTACCCTGGAGAATGTTCCATGAGCACTTGTGAAGAAAGTCTATTCTGTTGTGGTTTTTTTTTTTTATTCTGTTGTTTTTGAATGGAATGTCCTATAAATATCAATTAAATCCATCTTGTTCAATGTGTCATTTAAAGCTTGTGTTGCCGCTCCAGAGCCCATGAGCCACAACTACTGAAGCCCACACGCCAAAAGCCCGTGCTCCACAACAAGAGAAGCCCACACACCTCAATGAAGAGTAGCCCCCACTCACCACAACCAGAGAATAGCCCGTGCGTAGCAACAAAGACCCAACGCAGCCAAAAATAAAATAAAATAAATTTAAATAATAATAAAATAAATAAAGCTTGTGTTGCCTTAGTTATTTTCAGTTTCGATGATCTGTCCATTGGTGAAAGTGGCCTGTTAAAGTCCCCTACTATGATTTGTTACTGCCTATTTCCCCTTTTATGGCTGTTAGCATTTGCCTTATGTTTGAGGTGCTCCTATGCTAGGTGCATATATATTTACAATTGTTGTATTTTCTTGGATTGATCCCTTGATCATTATGTAGTGGCCTGGTCTCTTGTAATAGTCTTTATTTTAAAGTCTATTTTGTCTGATATGAGAATTTCTACTCCAGCTTTCTTTTGATTTCCATTTGCATGGAATATCTTTTTCCATCCCCTCATTTTCAGTCTGTATGTGTCCCTAGGTCTGAAGTGGGTCTCCTGTAGACAGCATATATACAGGTCTTGTTTTTGTATCCATTCAGCCAGTCTATGTCTTTTGGTTGTAGCATTTAATCCATTTACATTTAAGGTAATTATCGATATATATGTTCCTATTACCATTTTCTTGTTTCAGGTTTGTTATTGTAGGTCTTTTCCTTCTCTTGTGTTTTCTGCCTAGAGAAGTTCCTTTAGCATTTGTTGTAAAGCTGGTTTGGTGGTGCTTAATTCTCTTAGCTTTTGCTTGTCTCTAAAAGTTTTAATTTCTCCGTCGAATCCGAATGAGATCCTTGCTGGGTAGAGTGATCTTGGTTGTAGGCTTTTCCCTTTCATCGCTTTAAAAATGCCCTGCCACACTCTTCTGGCTTGCAGAGTTTCTGCTGAAAGATCAGCTATTAACCTTATGGGGATTCCCTTGTATGTTATTTGTTGCTTTTCCCTTGCTGCTTTTAATATTTTTTCTTTGTATTTAATTTTTGATAGTTTGATTAATATGTGACTTGGCGTGTTTCTCCTTGGATTTATCCTGTATGGGACTCTCTGTGCTTCCTGGAGTTGATTGACTATTTCCTTTCCCATATTAGGGAAGTTTTCAACTATAATCTCTTCAAATATTTTCCCAGTCCCTTCCTTTTTGTTTTCTTCGTCTGCGACCCCTATAATTCAAATGTTGGTGCATTTAATGTTGTCCCAGAGGTCTCTAAGACTGTCCTCAATTCTTTAATTTTTTTAAATTTATTCTGCTCTGCAGTAGTTATTTCCACTATTTTATCTTCCAGGTCACTTATCTGTTCTTCTGCCTCAGTTATCCTGCTACTGATTCCTTCTAGAGAATTTTTAATTTCATTATTGTGTTGTTCATCATTGTTTGTTTGCTCTTTAGTTCTAGGTCCTTGTTAAACGTTTCTTGTACTTTCTCCATTGTATTTCCAAGATTTTGGATCATCTTTACTATCATTTTCCTGAAATCTTTTTCAGGCAGACTGCCTATTTCCTCTTCATTTGTTTGGTCTGGTGGGTTTTTACTTTGCTCCTTCATCTGCTGTGTGTTTGTCTTCTCATTTTGCTTCACTTACTGAGTTTGGGGTCTCCCTTTCGCAGGCTGCAGGTTCATAGTTCCCGTTGTTTTTGGTGTCTGCCCCTAGTGGCTAAGGTTGGTTCAGTGTGTTTTGTAGGCTTCCTGGTGGAGGGGACTAGTGCCTGTGTTCTGGTGGATGAAGCTGGATCTTGTCTTTCTGGTGGGCAGGACTGGTCCAGTGGTGTGTTTTGGGGTGTCTGTGGGCTTATTATGATTTTAGGCAGCCTCTCTGCTAATGGGTGGGGTTGTGCTCCTGTCTTGCTAGTTGTTTGGCATAGGGTGTCCAGCACTGTGGCTTGCTGGTCGTTGAGTGGAGTTGGGTCTTAGTGTTGAGATGGAGATCTCAGGGAGAGCTTTCGCCATTTGGTATTACGTGGAGCCAGGAGGTCCTTGGTGGACCAATGTCCTGAACTCAGCTCTCTCACCTCAGAGGCACAGGCCTGACACCTGGTTGGAGCACCAAGACCCTTTTGGGAAATCTGAGGTCTTCTGCCAGCATTCAGTAGGTGTTCTGTAGCAGTTGTTCCACATGTAGAGGTATTTCTGATGTATTTGTGGGGAGGAAGGTGATCTGCATCTCTTACTCCTCTGCCATCTTGAAGGTCTCCCCCGGATCTCTTTTTTGTCTAGTGCTTGTTCTTTTTCATACTATACCATTCTTGTTTTGTGAATACAATATAGTTTCTTTTTTTTGAAGATATTTAGTTCTTTTTTTTCCTTTCGTTCTCTGCTTGTCTGTTTCCTTTGGATTTCCCCCACCTCTTTCTAATTTGGAGTCTTCCACCAAGTGTTATTGATGGGTGGTGGTCTTCATTGCAGGCTCATTGAGTGTTTAGCCAAACTTTTCACTAGGGTCTTTTTTTTTTTCCCTATACAACCTTTTATTCAGGTGACCAAGTAGTTAATCACAGTCATAAATAATGTACAAATTAAAAATTTCTCTTACTCATGAACTTAATGGGTGAGTAAACTTTTTCTCCTTTGGGGGCTGTTGTTTTCTCTGCCTGGATTCAAGAAGTTTACAACCCTTAACACCCTGTGTGCATTTAAATGTTTGCAGCTTCAGTGTGCTGTTTCTATCACCCTAAAGAAAACACACACAGTTCTTTCCACTGAGGAGGTGGTAAGGGGCCACATTTTTTGTGACCCAGAGCCCTGACTTTTGAACCTGATGCTGAAGATCCCGTGTTGTGTCTGCAGCGCTGATGACTCAGGGAACATTTCAGTGAAGCATTGTTCCTGGTTTATTTTACTGTTTTGTTTCTCTCTGTGGAGCTGGTTTCTATCATCCAGGTTACTGGACACAGGGGGTTATGGCTGGGCGGCTGAGACTGGTTAAGGGGCCCCCACACTAGGGTCTTTTAATTGTCAGTATTTGGAGGCAAAAGTGTGGTAAAATTATCATCTGCAGTAACATGGAAGACAGAAATGTACCTAATACCCTCATGGCATTGGTGAGAGTTTGAGGCAGAATTTTGAAAGAATAAGCTGGCTGCTATTCACAGCAATTTATAAGGTACTCTAAGACAAGCTCAAAAATAAGGAAGTGGTAATGTAAATATTATTGAGAGGGAATATAGGGCCTAGATTGGAAAATGAAATTGTTTTTCACCAAATCAAATGTTTGATCATTAAATATAACCTTAGGACAAAGAACAAATCCAGGGTATTGCCATTATGATGGCCTCAAGTAAAAGACCAAGCAAGGTCTAACTACACACTTATTTTGTACAACCTCTGAAGGAATTAAAGAGATGCCTTTCAGCTAAATCAAAGGGCTACTAGAAAGATTAAGGAAATTAGAAAAGCGGTATGTTCAATACATATACATTTCTACAAACTAAGCCATGAGTACTTGGAACATCTCGGGCCGAACTAGTTAGCGAATGTTTCTCTAATTCTCTTCTGCTGGTCTTCCAGACCTTTATTTCCCCAGCAACTCCCATATTTGGGTGAACCCCAATTCCTTTATTAAAGCTCTTCATTCATGTAATACTTTAATGAATCTGCTTTCCTCACCAAATACAGACTAAACCACCTGGCTTCTCTAGAAAAGAGAGGCTCAGGCAAAAATTAAATCTATTACTTTATTAGAAGGGGCAATCTAGGCTGGTGAGAGTAAGGGAGTAAGGCTAGCAGAGATTGGGAGCAAATGCAAATTGATAAATTACTGTATAGCATTTGGTTTCTGTTTCATGAAAAGCCATGAAGAGACACTGCTGATAATTTGCCAAGTACAGTTGTTTAGCTACATGGTACCTCTCTGGGCAGGAGGGTGAAAAACTATGCCTCAGAATAGCCCATGAGAAGGGAGAGGAATTTGTCCAATGGCTTCTTCTAGTCCATTGATCCAAGTTTTCCAGACAGTTAACTTCACTGCTCTTCCAGATTGCATCATCTAGCCCTTTTGACAATCACTGGGGAAACCCTGTGGCATGATGCTTCCTTGAGTCCAGAAGTGTTGGGATGGGCCAGAGATTCTGAGCACATGGCTAGTTGACCTCAGGCAGAAGAATCACTCCAGCCAGCTAGTAGTGTGTCACTATGTAGGGTGGTAGCTATGGCAAAGTGGCTGGTGGCCTAGGAAACAGTGGGGCCAAGAATGTGAGAAGGCACTTGAGGAAGGTGTGTCTGATACTATATCCAAAGATGAGACATATATGGGCACAATAATGCTGTATAATAATAGCTATAAGGCTTCAGAAGCATAACAATGGACTTCCCTTGCTCACAAATCTGGAATCAGATAGGTGTCAGTTAGGTGGTTCTGCTGATCTTGGCTGAGATGGTTCACATACATGGGGCTTGACTGGCTATCAGCCAATCGAAGACAGGATTCAGCTAGGGTGACCAGGGTAACCTGGCTCTGCTTCATGCATGTCTCACCCTCAAGGAGGCTAACCCAGACATGTATGTGTTTATGGTGACAGCAGTAGCACAAGAGTAAGTAGCAATACACCAGATGTTTGGAAATACATATGGCCCAGAAAGTACTTGAGAATGTACTTCAAAGGAGCATGAAAAAAAGAATACAGGGAGGAGTAAAAAACTAGTGTCATTTTTACAGTCTTTCATACCAAAGAAAAACAAGACAAGTACAGACAATTCATTGTTCAAACAGGTATTATTATTACTTGGGGGGAAAAACTTAAGATTTTTCTGGCCTTAGTTATAAATTAGGCTCTTACGGAGTATATGGGTTATCTTTCTTAAGACAGCTGTAAGATAGGGGCAAATGAGTTCTTTTTTCCCCCCTCTCCCTTTTAACAATTATATTTTGTTGGTTTGGAGAGCCAGTTAAATGGCAATAGATTTTGGCTCAGGAAAGTTCAAATTTAGCCCAGAGGAATCCATCTTTGGCCCTGCTTAAATCAATTCAGGCCTTCTTCTGTTCCCAAGGTCAAGTTCTAAACATGAAGAAATCCATTTTAATTCCATTCTTGAAAAATAACTGCTAGCCAGTTATTGCCTATTAACTAATAGGCAAGTCAGCTAGTTTATCTGGCTAAGAGTATGGGACTAATAATATTCAAACCTTATATAATCCATATTCCTTTTAATGAAAAGCATAATATAATGGTGACCTCACTGAACCAAATCAGAAGTCCTAGATTCTAGATAAGGTTCTACCACTAATTAGTTGTGTGACCTTATAGGCAAGTTACTTAATCTCTTTAGGCCTCAACTGCCACATACATATTAATCAGGGACTGCTCTAAAGTACAATGTTTCAAATGTTCTATTTCCACAGTATATTAGCAGGTATTACTTATTCAAATAAGTTTAAGAAATACTAACTTAAATAAAGTTCAAAATGTTTATTTCAGGACTTTTCAGCACTTTCATTTTGTGCCTTTTGAATCTCTAACAGGGGAATATAAGGTGCAGCAAACAAATTTTACCAATTACTCATTTATTCATAAAAACACGTGTCCCACTGAGTATACTTTGGGAAATGTACTGTTATTTCTAGCACCCACATGGGTGAAATTTAACAGTCAGTGTCCCAGAAAGAGGGCAACTTCAAATGGGGACATTTGAGAAAAATATAATAAAATTACTATTTACAAAGGTATAGGCAGGGTTTAGGAAAACCAGCAAGGTATAATGACCTACTCTGGGGCTATTAATGCCCTGGACTCATCACGATATAAGTGAAAAGGGGTAAACGGAGGAAGCATGGGCCTGAAGTTAACTGGAATAACTGCTGGGAAAGGGATGCCTGATAGGATGACCTTCAGTAGAAGGACACACCCAACCCATGGTGACCTGCCAGGAAAGGAGCAAGGGAAATAAATAATTTCATTTTCCTTTCAACCTTCAATCTCCTGCAGTGCTTCCATTTGCTGATCCCAAGCAAAAGCCAGTGGTCAAGGGGACCTACCTCACAGAGCAGAGAGCAGAATGGGAAAGAGTGGAGGGTGGATCCAGAGGGCAAACAGAAGCTATTCAGCACAGTAGGGTTCCATTCACAAGCAGCTAGATTAGATGATTAAATGATGTCCTCAGGACTCAGTCTTTTTATCTCTCCACTCTGCTTTCTTTTGCTGGCTTCATTCTAAGGCAAGTTCTTGCCACCTGCAGCAGAGATGTCACCAGTAGCTCTAGGATTATATACATCATGCTTATTTCACAATTTCATAAAATAATAAAAAGAGTAAACACATTTATAGCACTTAGTATATGCCAGGTGCTGTTGAAAGCCCCTTAGATACATTAATTCAGCTAAACCTCACCATAATCCTAAAATAGCTACTGTATTACCATCTCTTCAGAAATGAAGAAACTGACAAATGACTGGTAGGTAAAAAAAGAAAGCTGAGACTTAGATTTAGATAGTCTAGCTCTAGAGTCTGTGCTTTTAACCACTGCTTTTTGAAAAATAAACCCTATCTCCTAGAGCAACCATATCACTTATCAAGAAGGATGTTGGGACATGTGCTCATCCCTGGATCAATCACTAGGCACTTTGCTTGCTAAACCGGGTCATACGTCCATCCCTATGATAGGACATGATTGCTAGCAATTTCTCCCTAAAAAAGATGCCAGGCAGATGAAAAAAGCAACAAATGTCCACCACAGACAGGGTGGACTTAAGAAGAAATAGCCCTATGGGACTGGAGCTACAATTCTAGTTCTGCCCATGTTTGTCATTAACCTTAAACAAATTACTTGAGGAGACTCTGTGAGTATAGGTGGAAAGATATGAAGATCTCTAAACAAATATCTAATTATATCTAATTACATATATATATAAATACAACACATTATTATATTAAAATATGGTAATAAAATTGAGATATGCCAAGTTGAATTTTTCAGCCAACACTATCTCTGAAAACTCCCTTAGAAATAACTTCATTTTAAAAAATATGAAGTAAAATAAATAAAACCTTATTTTTTCAAGTGGTCTTACAGACATTATACAGAAATATTTCCTAGGAATAAACAAAGCACAGTTATAATTTTATTGATTTTAGCAAAATAAAATTACATTAAATGACTTCCTAAAAACTAATGGGTAAGTTTCCTTGTTTCCTTGTCTCCAGGGCATTTGGCATTCTTTACCAACTGGTGCATAAAAGAGTAGAAAAATAAAAGATTATCATATTGTCCTTTGTATTTCTCTTTTAAAATATCAGTATGATAATCTACCAGAAAGTAGTAAATGGCTTCAATTGTGGAAAGGAAGGTATCTGGCTTTCCTTTTTGATGGCGCCAAAAGCAAGTTTTTCTTGTTTTCAACTCAACTTGTAGCAACCCTGCCAAAAACAAATAAGAGAAGTATAAATATTTCCTGTTAACCACAGGGTGTGGTACAATAATAATTTCCCTTAATTACTTTAAGGATTTTCTTTAAATTCCTTCAATCCCAATTCCAAATAGGATATTTTCTCAAATGTATTAAGGTATATACGGAAGCAATATAAAACACAGGATGAAATCTTATCCATGACAGTTATGTATAAGTCTTGGACTTGTAGCAAACTGGTTAAAAGTAGTTAACATTTAAGATGTTCATCTCTTTCTGTCTTCTACTTGCCAGTGTCTTTTTTGACTTTAATCTGTGACAGGACTAAATTCATCAATTTTCAGAAGAGTTTCATTTCCTTGATAAACTGACATTTAAAATATTGTTCTGAAATTCAGTGAGGCCAGGTAGGCAGGTTAGTGGTCCTTAATACTGTTAAAACTACTTCTGGATTATCACTTTTTGGCTATTATGTTCATGAACAGAGTACCTAGAGCTGTTTCATTAGCTGTCACATCTGTGTTTCAGAGACTCAATAACGCAGTCAGCTAATGCCTTGCTCCCGTATATTTAAAGAGGAAATGACTCATGAAATCATACAATAGTACTCTCATCTCTTACAACTCAGATGTCAACATACAAACCCAGAATGCTTTTAGTACCTTAGACCGATACTCAGACTCACATTATATTTAGTTTGCAAATACTTTCTAAAAATCGTATTTTATTTTAAAGTGAGAAATAAAAGTGAAGAAGGTAATATCAAAATTGGCCCACTGACCCAGATTAGGAACCTCTGAGTCATCAATGATTTCCTACTATCACACCTCACTTTAACTTAACAGCTACCTAAGAAATGTGGCAGACAATGACAAGAAATAAATAATATAAAAACATATCAAGATATTAAGAGATATGAAGGATCAAATATATATCTAATAGGAGTTCTGTGGGAGACAGCAAAGAGAATGGATGAGAGATAGCATTTAAAGAGATAATGCCTATGACTGTTTCAGAAACTATTTTAAAAAATGCAAAGTCACAGATACATGACATAATGTATCTCAAGGAGGATAAATACAAAGAAATCAGGGCAGAGATCCTCCTTATAGTAGTGTAACTGCAAAAGAGCAAGACTAAAGAGAATATTTTTAAAGTAGCCATTGAGAACAGATAGATCGTATACAAAAGAAAGGTAATCAAAATGACAGAAGACTTTTTATTAGGAACAATAAAATATTGAAGACTCTGGAATAAAATCTTCAAAGTGCCAAGAGGAAATAACTGGCAACCTAAAATTACCTACCCAGCAGAACTATATATCAAGAACAAGAGTGAAAAATATTAATAGACAAACAAAAATATACCAATAAACATATGCCAACTGGAGATCCAATGGAATGAATTTCTAGATGTATTTCAGAAAAAACAGTCTGAGTTATAAGAATGGTGAGCAAAGAAAAATGGTAAACATCTATGCAAATCCAAAGAAATGATGCCAGTATTAAAGAAAAACAATAATAATATCTAATTTGTGGCCTGAAAATAAAAGACAGAACAAAAAATAATGAAGAAAATAACAATAACTAGGAGGGGGATGAATCAAGCTTAAGTGTATTAAGGCCTTACAGTGTTCAAAAGGAGAGGTAAAAATATTGTTTGACTTTGAATTTTTTTAAGTTACATGTGCATAGTACAATTCCCTAAAAGAACCAAAATAGGAACATTAAAAAATGGAATATGAAAAATAAAAAGAAAAGCCAGGAAAAGAAAAAAGTAGTAAAGAGCAAGATAAATAAAAATAAAATTAAGATGATAGAAATAGGTCCAAATAAATCAATACTCACAGCAAATACAAACTGATTAAACCTGCCATTTAAAAGACAATGATTATCAGACTGAAATACAACAGGGATGACCTCCACAAGCCTTCCATTCAATACTGCACTGGAGGTCTTAGTTAACACAGCAATACAAAAATAATAAATTAATTAGATGCACAAGAACTGAAAAGGAAGAAACACCTCTGACATACACAGAAAATATTTTTTTACATCTATGAACAAATTATTAGAAATATCTTGGGGTAGAGAGGATTATTTTTAAAAGACACAAAAGTGGTAAACATGAAAGATGGATAAATTCTACACTAAGAATTTCAGTTCCTCAAGAGATAAAGAAATTTAAAAGAGGAGCCACAAACTGCAAGAAGATATTTCAAACATTATTATCTATATTCTAGAATATATAAAGAATTTATACAAATAAATAAGAAAAATGAAACACTAGAAAGATGGACATAGATAGTTCATAGAACAGGACATGTGTATGGCCAAATAAGCAAACAAAATGATGCTCAGTCCAATTAGTAATTAGAGAAAGGCACATTATCAATACAATGAGATACCACTTTATACGCACTCTATTGGCAAAAATCAAACATTTGGCAAGACAATGGTAGGAGGGATTATGATCGATGGGAACTCTTACACATTAATTATGGGAGTATAAATTTGTATACCCACACTTTGGAAAACAGGTGGCATTATCTCGGAAAACTGAACATTCTTATATGTAACAACAGAGCTATTCCGCTTCTAGGTTCGTTTCCTAGAGGAAGCTTGCACATGTGCAAGAATGTTCATAGTAGCACTGTGTGTAACAGCAAAAACTAGAAATAATTCAATTGTGTCACCAACAGGAGACAGAGTAAACTGTAGTATATTCACACAATCAGATATTACACAGCAGTGAAAATGAATAAACTCTAGCTACAAATTTAGAAACAAAATGGTAAGTTTACAATGTGAGTCCTGAAAACCACATACAGGTCAAAAAAAGCAAAACTAAATAATAATTTAATCTAAAAAGAGTAAATCTTTTTTAATTGAAGTATGCTGTATGATATTATATGTTACAAATTTCTAATACTGTGATTCACAATTTTTAAAGGTTATACTCCATTTATAGTTATTATAAAATATTGGCTATATTTCCTGTGTTTTACAATATATCCTTGTAGCTTATTTTATACTTAATAGTTTGTATCTCTTACTCCCCTACCCCTCTATTGCCCCTCCCCCCTTCCCTCTCCCTACTGGTAACCATCGGTTTGTTCTCTCTGTGAGTCTGCTTCTCTTTTGTTATATTCACTAGTTTGTTGTATTTTTTAGATTCCGCATATAAGTGATATCATACAGTATGTCTTTCCCTGTCTGCCTTATTTCTCTTAGCATAATGCCCTCCAAGTCCATCCATGTCGCTGCAAATAGCAAAATTTCATTCTTTTTTATGGCTGAGTAGTATTCTATTCTGTGTGTATGTTTGTATGTGTTTATGTGTGTGTGTGTATATATATATATATATACACACATACATACATACATGCCACGTATTCTTTATCCATTCATCTGTTGATGGACACTTGGGTTGCTTCCATAACTTGGCAATTGTAAATAATGCTGCTATGAACACTGGGGTGCATATGTCTTTCAATTAATGTTTTTAGTTTTTTTAAAATATATACTCAGGAGTGGAATTGCTGGATCATATGGTAGTTCAATTTTTAGTTTTTTCAGAAACCTCCACTGTTTTCCATAGTGGCTGCACCAATTTACATTCCCACTAGCAGTGCACGAGGGTTCCCTTTTCTCCACATCCTCACCAACATTTGTTACTTGTGTTCTTTTTGATGATAGCCATTCTGACAGGTGTGAGGTGATATCTCATTGTGGTTTTGATTTGTATTTCCCTAATGATTAGCACCACTTCATGTGTCTGTTGGCCATCTGTATTCCCTCCTTGGAAAAATGTCTATTCAGTTCTTCTGTCCATTTTTTTTTTTTGTCTTTTTTTTTTTGTGTCCATTTTTTAATCAGATTATTCGCTTTTTGATGTGATGAGCTATTTATATATGTTGGATATCACTCTCTTATCAGTCATATCATTTGCAAATATTTTCTTCCATTCAATAGGTTGTCTTTTCATTTTGTTGATGGTTTCCTCTGTTGTACAAAACCTTGTAAGTTTAATTAGGTCCCATTTATTTATTTTTGCTTTTATTTCCTTTGCTTTAGGAGATGGATCCAAAAAAATATTGCTCTGATTTATGTCAAAGAGTGTTCTGCCTATGTTTTCCTTTATTAAAGTATCTGGTCTTACATTTAAGTCTTTAATCCATTTTGAGTTTATTTTTGTATACGATGTTAGAGGATGTTCTAATTTCATTCTTTTACATGTAGCTCTCCAGTTTTCCCAGCACCACTTATTGAAGTGATGAATGCTAGTTTTAACAATTTTGACTCCTTCTCCAACAAAAAGAAACCATCCTTCCCCACTGCATTCCCCCAAGCCTTTCTGTGGTGGACCTTCAAGGATGTTATGCCATTTTTCACTTGAGGGCTTACATTTTATGATTAAATTAGGCACTCAAACTTCAAATGTTTTATTTTGACAGCAGTAAAACATCTACAGCTCTCTGTCTGTAAAGTCTGGCAAAACAGTATGTTACATTGTTAAGGGGATTCTTAATCTCAACATTCATAATAAGATAACAGAAACAAACATTCCAATACACTATATTTGAGGGTTTAAACTGAGGTTTAGAGGTGGTTTGTTCAGTTTAATCCTATCAAATGATAAACCGTTTTAAAACCTAATGGCAATGATTTATAACAAAAAAGGGCTGTTTCTTGTGGAAGTAACTTGGCTTATCTGGAAACTGGTATTTCACATATGTAGAGATTATAAATATGCCAAGCCCTAAATATTTCTTGTGGTGCAATGAGGAGTCAGAAGAGGCAGGGGGTGAAATAGGGCACGCACAGAAGACTGACTCTAGAAATCCATTTACTTCATGATTTTGAAGGGTTTAAGAAATCCCTTTTAAAATTCTGATGTAGCACAGAATTGAAATATATGATACTTTCTATGTGATCTGAGAAACAGAAATTTTTTGTACAAATGTGATTTGAAGCCTTAAGCACAACGGCTGAAAACATATTTGAATTGTACCTCAATAGTTCCTTTTACAATTTTTTCAAGTGTTATCACTTATGTTCTTCACTTGACCTTTTCAATTACCATATAAAGTAATTTAAAGAAAAGCCTCAGGAAAATCTTCAAACTGAGGAGTAACTTGCTGCTGTAACGATCCAAGGTAACGTGGCAGGCAGTACTCCAAAGAGCGGGACTTTAGGGTTTCATCTATTAAACATTAGCAACAATGCTGCAAATCTTATGCTCCGTCATCTTTCTCTGTCTCTGTCTCTCTCTCATATACACACACACACACTTCTTTGTCTCTATCTCTCTGCCTATCTGTCACACACACATACACCCAAGCACACAGAAGTAGAATGACAAAGCAATCTTTCTAACATGTATGCTGTTTTCAAGAGATATAAACGATATAAATAAAGTTAGGTAAATCTAGCATTGTCGCTCACTTTAGCTTGGGACTAATTATCACAGGATTCCAAAAAGTGTCATAAACTTTCTTTTCTAGAGGATGGATATTTTTAACAATTGCCTGGGAGAAGCTCTCCCAGTTTGAAACTGTTTTGGAAACTGCCTAATACCAACTGGGTAGCTCTTTTGCTTTCTAATCATACATGGTACACAAATAAAGCCATCAAAGAGCTAGAAATAAACCTAAAGGTTTTAGAGAAACTACTGAGAAAGACTGAAGAACTGAGTAAGGTGCAAGGGAACAAGACAAGTAACATTCTTCATATTACTAGTTGTGTTATTGGGCAAGTAAAGCAACTTTTTTAAACCATTATTATTAGACACTAAGCTTTTCACTCTAAGAGAAAAACATACAAACATAAAACAAAAGAAAGTAATGTTAAATCTGAATTGGAACTATCCATGTGAACTCATAATATATATCTATTTATTTCTTTTGGCTCTGTCCACTGAAGCAATGACATCCAAGCAGTAATAAATTTACCAGATCTTGGTTTCTAATACCATTCCCCACTAAAAGAACCACAGCTCCTTCAAGTAATTAATTCTAGGTCTGGGGCAGGAAAAAAAGTACAAGTGAACTTGGGACATCCTGTTGTAACAGAAAGACTAATTAGGCCATGCCACAAAGGACTTGAAGGGCTCCCAAGAGCAAAATTTTAGACAATTTGGACATCAAAAAGAATACAATCATGATACATTATAATACACTGAACTAAAAGGAAATCCATAAGACCACAGTGATCTCAAAAAGAGAAAAAAAGAAGAGGGAAAAAAGAAAAGCTCTTCTTTACATAAGAATGCCAGCTAACAAATGTAGAAGAAATAATAATATTAAAATTTCATCATTTTGTAATCCTTAATGTAATTACTGATTTAGGCAACAGTCATCAATAAATACTAAAACCACTCAGTAAAAAGCAGTTGGGAATAGTTCACCGTCTTAAAGCATCACCCCACAGATTACTACTAATTTCAATGAAGAAAATAACCTTTATAATGGAGAAATTTGCCAATCACCACTTTAATCAAGGAATTAAAGTTATCAGCAGTAATGGAACAACTTACATTATATCCTCCTGACCTGATGTATACAACCTGAGCTATGAATAGGTTAACCATATAATTAATCAGCCAAACAGCTTCATTTCCGAGAGTGAAAGGGGATGCTATTAATAATTATATCAAAACAATAGATATAAACTGGAATTGTCATGGGCAACCCTGTATTTATCCTTATCTGAAGTATCCTTACAAAAATATTTAAACTGAATCTAATATTGAAACATTCAGACAATTGACCTATCCTCTTCACACAAGTCTAAGTCATGAAAAACAAAAACAGGGGACTGTTCTACATTAAAAGAGACTAAAGAGACATAATAACCAAATGCAATTTGAGTTTACATGCTGCATCAGAGGAAAAGAGCTACAACAGATATTTTGGGGTTAATTAGGGAAATATGAATGTGGACTGCATATGAGATATCACAGAACTTTTCTTAATTTTCTTAGAGTGATAACGGTATAGTGATTATGCAATTATTCTTAAAAGTTGTACACTTAGGTATTTAAGGGTGATGTATTGCAAAGCCTGCAACTTACTTTCAAATGGTTCAACCAAAAACATATATGATATCTAAGTACACAAACATACATATAATAGAGGAGGAAAAATAAAGCAAATGTGGCAAAATGTATGTGTATTCAATGCAACTCTTCTTGCAATAAATCTGTAGGTTTGAAGTTCTTTGAAATGAAAGTTGGGGGACAGAACAATCAAAAACATGCAACATTTTTTTTCTTACCTTGCAGTCTCTCATCAGTGAATATTTTGTTTGTTTGGTTCCAGGTGCTATCTATGAATACAATTTTTTTCAGTGTTGTGTCTTTGCACTTGCTGTCATTCAAATCCTGTTCTTCAGTTTTCTTGCGTTTAATGAATGGCTTGTCAAGGTCATCATTTTTGCCTCCAACATTATTTTGAATCTTTTCTTGGAGATGAAAAGAAATTTCTTTTACTGAAACAGAGTTAGGTCCAGGAAAAACAAGTGCAACCTAAAGCAAAGAAGCTTAAGTTAGTAGTGTGCTATTATGATCTTCAAAATTAATAAATTCTGACTTAAAACTTTAAGAGGAAAAAATACGTTGAATATCTGAGAAACAAGCATTAGGTTCTATTATATGTGCCTCTTTAATATATATGGTAAAGTTTTTGGCTCTTCCCTAGTAATTTATAATCATAATACACTACTTAGAATTATTTTTGTACTTCAAAATAAGTTATTCACCTATTGAGAGAAGCTCAGTTAATTGTACCTTAAATCAAAAAACTAAAGTCTATAATATTTCATAAGATAAAAGGCAAAGTATGGGGTACTTTGTAAAAGAACCATTGAAAAGTGCTCAATAATTAAATACCATTTTCACCTATAATAAGCAACGATAAAACAAATGATACAGCCAATGCTGGTGAGGAAATGGTGTAATAGGCCTTTACAGCCATTACTGACATCAGGTTTAAATAGTATAACTCTTTGTGAAAGCAGTTTGGCAATTTAAGTCAAGAGTCTTGAAATGTTCATACCCTTTGGTCAAATAATTTCACATATGGGAATTTATCTTAATAAAATAATTCTAAACACACACCATACTCACAATACCCAGAATATTTGTTAAAGTATACTTATTATAGTGAAAAACTAAAACTAAAGAAATCTAACTTTCAAGGAATAATTCAGTAAATTATGGCACCTCCTTTCTTTCAGCATGTTTTTACTGAGACCTTATATACTGTACTGTATATCCAAAGTATAAAAACTCCTGCCACAAAGCAGGCACCCAGTAAATATCTGTTAAATGAACAAATGTTGATAGAATCACAGATGTTATCCTCCATACGTTTCTCTATTTCCCAAGTTTTCTTGAATGAAAATGTATCATTTTTAATATGAAAAAATAAATATTAAAATAAACTTTAAAATCTTGAATTTATCAACTTCGACATTATAAAAGTTTTTCAGACATTCACGATGCATGCCTACATATCCCCCATACCCAATAAGCAAAGTCCAGGGCTTTTTAGTTTTCTTGGACTATAATCATGTCACATCTTTTTATATTACCTAGCACTGTGTTCTATTTAATTGACATAGATGATAACCTAGCTGACCAGAGAAGGAAGTACAAATATATTCCTAGATCCGAAACTCATATATTATTTACAAACACAACTTTCTATAAACTCAACCAAAAAATATAAATATATTGATAGGAAAGGAAAAACTTACCAAGTTCTTCCTTGAACAAATGAATGTATTTTTAATTTTGCTTCTAAATTAACCATACCAACAAATGTTCCCCCAAGAGACCTAAAAGGGTTTATGTGCTTCTTTCAGAAGTATTCAAGCCCTAGTTTTTTGAGATCTATTGCAACATCACTTTTCTACAAGACCAGCTGTCACTAACGTGAACACTTCAACTATGTGAAAACCAATTAAGAATCTAGAAATGAGTAAGGAAGGCCTCTGAGTAGCCAAAAGAAATATTACAAAGGCCATGTACTAATGCTCTTAATTTAGAGAGAATTTCTAAAAATCCTTCTACCTTAGTCTGTCTCTTCTTCTTCTGGAGAAATTCCAACAACATTTGTAATCTGGTTTCTCAGTTTGTATCAAATTAGACTATCTATGTGTAGTATAGGCAGGAGAATGGAGATGGGAGAAAAGTAAAAGCAGGCCTAGTAGTACTGGCAAAGAGTAAAAACCTGAAGAAATAATGCAAACAATAAAAAGTAGAAAGACTCAAAAAAGCTCAACATCTAGGATCATTTGATCTTTGAAGACAATAGTGAAGTAAACTGTGCGTTGTTTAGTGCTATATAAGATTTAACCCTAGATCACTAAACAAAATATTAAATTATGTTCAAGTAAGTTCAGAAAGGCAATGGGGTTTAAAATTCATTTTTTGATTCAACGTGAGAAGTTGTAAAAAAAAGATAAGCTGCCTACTTCATGGTCCTTTTCTTCATATTCTGGAATACAAGGATATGTATAAATATTCACAAATTCAGGTGCTAAGAGTTTTGCATGTATAGCAGTGCTTTTGCCGTCTGTTTCATTTGGATGTTTAATGATGTCAATCTTCAATGGAAGCTAAAATTTAAAGAAAAAAGACAAATGAACAAAACAAATATAAAAATTCTAATTTTTACATTAACAAAAATGGTCTTTAAAGCTTAAATAGCAAGTTCACACTAAGATCCTATAAATACAATTATGGATTGAAAAGTCATACTTTTCTAGAACAAATACTAAGAATGGTAACAGTCATAAAGGAAACACAAATTTATTCCTCAATATTGTTAATCATGTACTAGAACAACTATTTTCAACTCATTTAACATAGAATCTTCTCTTATAGCAATGTTCCAATGTCACTTTCATTTAAATCACATTGGCACTGAGTCATATTCTTTGCATTTCAATATCTGTGCCAAGGACATTTTTTATAATTCCTATAAACTTTTAGGTCTATTAATTTTACAATATATTAAAAGGAAACATAAGTTTGGGCAAAAGCTTTAGATCTAAAACTCAAGCTAAAATTTTGTTCCTTAAACATCTTCTGAGGTCAAAGGTATTATCTTTTATTTTAACATCATGATTCTCAGCATAATTAACAGCACAAGTGAAATTAATTATTAACTGGAAAAAACAGTAACAGAATGGTTCTAGGAGGTACACTCTTTATATAAGAAATAACTCTCTTCAAAATCATTTTGCCTATTTTCCTTAAGGTTTCATTATTTAATTACTATGAACTATGTCCTGTCTCTACGCAAAAATAATATTATCTGCAAATTTTTTGAGTTAGATTTTTCTATTATTTCACTGACTTGTTTTAGTTTTCTGTATAATGCTTGTACAAGTCCTGCATTCAGCCATGATTATGAAAATAAAAGACAAGTCATATCTCCCCCATTATATATATGAAAGTCTCTGAGATGGATTCTTCCCTGTAGAGTTCAAATGACTTGTTATGATAAGCACTCTTCCAGCTCCCATCCCACACTAAAAGGCAAGAATCTAGGCATTTACCCTGGGGCACATAGCTATTTTACCCCGGTTACAAAATAGTTACGAAACTATTTTTCTTGTTTTTTAAAACAGCTTTATTAAAGAGATAAAATTGATACAATAAATATATTTAAAGTGTACAATCTAATGAGTTTTAACATGTTACACCTTTGCACTCATCACCACAATGAAGATAATGAACAAATCCATCACCCCCAAAAGTCTTCCTGTGCCTCCCTCCTTCCCCTTTTCCCCATCACCTACCACCCACAGTCCTTAGACAACCATTGATCTGCTACTATTATAGGTTAGTTTGTATTTTCTAGAATTTTGTATCAATGAAATCATAAAATATGTACTCTTTTCATCTGATTTCTTTCACTTAGAATAATTATTGTGAGATTCACCCATGCTGTGTGTATCATTAACTCCAGAACTGTTTTTTAAAGGGGCAGTTGCTGTATGCTACTAGATGATCCCAACCGTACATAGTTTATCTTTCAGGATGATTATATGGAAAGAGGACAGTATATACCCTAGAAGGGTCATAAATATCCCAAATAGTTTTCAATCTAGGGTTTCAAATCCCATGTCTCCTACCCTCCCACTCAGGCCTAGTGATCATTTATAAGTTGGAGCCAATTGCTTCAAATCATCAAACCAACTTCTAGTTATAGAATATTTGCCATTTAAGTAGGCAGTTCACAAACGATTTTACACCAGTCTACCTCTGGCTGAACTCTACATCAGACTTTCCTCATGACGCTCAGTCCCAGCTGATACTACATTCCCTTTCCCCAGCGTCTCTCAGTACCAGCTCAGCATTATCTTAGCCCAGGTAAGGTAGGAAAGAGGAAAGAAGAAAAAGAAAGCAGGTCATGACAAAGTATTCTAATACTAATGAAATTGACTTTCTAATACGGCCGATGAGTAGAGCTGAAAATTCCAAAGGTAATCACCAACATTTCTGATCAGCTGGCTATCTCTGAAGGATATCATTTAAATCAAAAATGTAGGACTGGGGGATTCCCTGGTGGCGCAGTGGTTGAGAGTCCGCCTGCCAATGCAGGGGTCACGGGTTCGTGCCCCGGTCCGGGAGGATCCCACATGCCGCAGAGCGGCTGGGCCTGTGAGCCATGGCCGCTGAGCCTGCGCGTCCGGAGCCTGTGCTCCGCAACGGGAGAGGCCACAGCAGTGAGAGGCCCAAGTACCGCAAAAAAAACCAGGACTGAATGTTATTAATGTATTTTACAAATCATGAACCTAGCTATTATGGACTAACATCTACAAGTATAAAACAATTATGCCAAATTTGTGCTCAAAAAGTATTCCTGGGCGCCAGTCCAGGTATATTTAGTTCCCCCTGAGTGAGCCTGAGAATTATACTATGAAACAAAAGCCCAGACACGGGTCAAATCATGAAAATAGGTAAATATGTGTTTGTGTTCTAGTTTGTACATTTTAAGGGAAGATACATCTTAAATAATGACAGGGTGCAGAGTAATACCACTAGAGTTGACCAGACTGAGTTCAAGTAGAAATGTTCTGTTTTCAAACATTTAAAGAAGATCAATCAGTTCTCTAACATCTATGTTTTCTATAAGAGATTTACCACAAATCTTTCTGCCCAAATTTATCAAAATGCCATTAGCAGAAAAACCTAAGCCTTTTTCCATGTGATTATCAACTTTCCCAAAGAGAGTCTTTTCAATTCTAGGACTCTAATAGAGCTGAAACTTTCTTTTATCTTATGATTTTTTTCTCCTTTTTTTAAAAAAAAACCAAGAGCACCTTTTACCTTTGCTTATGCATTTGTCACGACATTTAAAAAATTATACTCTGCATTAAAAAGATACATATTGTATATATGTGCCACATCTTCTTTATCCATTCATCCGATGATGGGCACTTAGGTTGTTTCCATCTCCGGGCTATTGTAAATAGAGCTGCAATGAACATATTGGTACATGACTCTTTTTGAATTTTGGTTTTCTCAGGGTATATGCCCAGTAGTGGGATTGCTGGGTCATATGGTAGTTCTATTTGTAGTTTTTTAAGGAACCTCCATACTGTTCTCCATAGTGGCTGAACCAATTCACATTCCCACCAGCAGTGCAAGAGTGTTCCCTTTTCTCCACACCCTCTCCAGCATTTATTGTTTCTAGATTTTTTGATGATGGCCATTCTGACTGGTGTGAGATGATATCTCATTGTAGTTTTGATTACTCAGCCATAAAAAGAAACGAAACTGAGCTATTTGTAATGGGGTGGATAGACCTAGAGTCTGTCATACAGAGTGAAGTAAGTCAGAAAGAAAAAGACAAATACCGTATGCTAACACATATATATGGAATTTAAGAAAAAAAAATGTCATGAAGAACCTAGGGGTAAGGCAGGAATAAAGACGCAGACCTCCTAGAGAACGGACTTGAGGTTATGGGGAGGGGGAAGGGTGAGCTGTGACAGGGCGAGAGAGAGTCATGGACATATACACACTAACAAACGTAGTAAGGTAGACAGCTAGTGGGAAGCAGCCGCATGGCACAGGGATATTGGCTCGGTGCTTTGTGACAGCCTGGAGGAGTGGGATAGGGAGGGTGGGAGGGAGGGATACGCAAGAGGGAAGACATATGGGAACATATGTTTATGTATGACTGATTCACTTTGTTATAAAGCAGAAACTAACACACCATTGTAAAGCAATTATACCCCAATAAAGATGTTAAGAAAAAAAAAAAAGTCATTTGGAGATATAAAATAGATAGCTAGTGGGAAGCAGCTGCATCGCACAGGGAGATCAGCTCAGTGCTTTGTGACCACTTAGAGGGGTGGGATAGGGAGGGTGAGAGGGAGATGCAAGAGGGAGGGGATATGGGTACATATGTATACATATAGCTGATTCACTTTGTTACACAGCAGAAACTAACACAACATTGTAAAGCAATTATACTCCAATAAAGATGTTAAAAAAAAGAATGATTATATGTATATGTGTAACTGAACCACTTTGCTGTACACCTGAAACTAACACAACATTGTAAATCAACTATACTCCAATAAAATTTAAAAAAAGTTATTTGGAGAACAATAGGAGAAATCTGAATAAAAAAAAAAAAGATACATATTTATGAATTTAATCCCTAGACTAAAATTTATAGCTTGGGAGGTACTTACTCATTATGTAGTCATCTTCCCTTCCCAAGCAGGCTATCTAAAAGCAAATGCTAAACAATTTGTAAAAATAAAGTCGAAATTAGAAATAAAATTTTGTAGAGTTTTTATTACTACTAATAGTAACAGTATTTTAGTATTTATATTAACATATAAAATTTTATTTCTGGCAATTAAAATAAAACACTTCAGAAAATTCTGCACCATCCAGTAGGCCATTTAGAGTTGATCAAACTCTTGGCATAGTGTTTTGAGTCATTTTGATTAAATAGTGGACGACCACTGATTTGAAAAATAATCCTCAATTATTAAATTCCTATGAAAACATTAGCTCTGCCAATATATTATTAACTTTTATTATTCTGATCTTCAATCCTTTTGAATAAAATATATCTTAAGATAAAACTTTTAATGGGATATTTTCTATATGTGGCTATGACATAAATAGATGAAATGATTCTGTGTATACCTCCAAAACTATACTTCAAAATGTAATATTCTTATAAGGTAATGGCAACTTAAAAAGAATTATTGTCCTCAGGCTCTCAGTTTTTCTGAGGTAACTGTGAAGCTGATTGGATTCCATTCTTACTTATTCTTGGCCAGTAAACTTTCCAATAGCCTATAAGAGTGATCTGAGACCCCTAAGCAGACCATGGACTTGCCAAGGTGACACGTAGGCTAAACTACAATTCAAGTAACAAAATATGAGTGTTAAAGTATTTTTCTTACTTGAAAACTTAAATGAACCTTAAAATCACCACATTAAATATCTTTAAATATAGTTACAACTTTCATACTGGCAAGTTCTAATGAGTCCATGTGTAGGTTTGGTCTCTTTAAAGTTCTAACAGGCAGCAGTCAAATTTCATACACTATTTGATTTGCTCCTAAAGTTCGGGTCACTGTTAGGCAAGTTAACATACACATAATAAATTTTTTGATTACGTAGACATGATGGTCTACAGACCTTTTATCTACTCAAAAATAGTCTTGGTAAGCAACAAGTATAAGGTAAGCAATCAACTCAAATCAATTTTTTAAATCTGGCTTTAAATCACAACAATTATAACACAGCCCAATGAGTAGGTCTTAGTCTTTCAATTTTAGTTTTGTTTAGTTTTGGTCACTGACATGTGCTCCATCTCCACGTACAGGATGGGCCTGAACTCATGATTTTGCCTAAGCAAAAATCAACCCTAGTTCCTTCAGGATATGTTTTCTCAAAGGGCAGTCCAAGGCCCTTGAGGTAGTTTTTGAGGCTCCTTCATGTAGTCTGTAAACTTGTCTCTTGTAGTATTCAAGTTTATACCATGTTTTTTTCTATGTAGTAAATGAATTATAATCATTAATTTAAAAAAGTAACTGATTTCATTAAAAACAAGAGCATTCATCTCAGATGCAAGTGTTTTGGCAATGTGTGCCTCTTTTTCTAGAGACGAGGAAAAAAAATACAGGTTTACCAATCTACAGGATTAAACTTTCTATTAATACAATTCATTTTCATAATAATATCATTTATCAAGCTTATCAGTTATATTAGAGTAGGTATATATGAAACGTGTTTTTAAAATCTATTTTCCTACTTCCAAACAATTAAAGTTCTCACCAACCTTCACACGTGGTATCTGTTCAATAGGTACATTCTCAACTGGGACGTAACATGTATAGCAGTAGAACATTCTTGAACCACCACACTTGAGACATTTTGATCTTCCATTTTGCTGAGCTTTTTGAAGAACTTCTTGAGATGCTAAGCATAAGTTTTGAAGAGGATATTCTGCAGCTATGGATGTAGTTTGTGACTGTTGTATTTCCACAAATTTTGAATTATCTTCTTCCCTTTCTTTGAGAAATATAGGTGTATTGAGAGACATTTTTCATTCAGACCAAAGTTTAACTTTTATTTCTAAAACACATATCATAGATGCACTGGAAAAAAAAGTGGGAGGCAAAATAAAAAACAGAAAACATTTTACTCGCTGTTTCTACCAAAATAAATTACTCAATTTAATTCACAACTGTGTGCTGTTTTTAGTATTTATTAACAAACGTTAATAAGTTTTTTAAACCACTAAATTAGTATGCTTTAAAATACAAAATGAAAAAGCAATATATTCAAAACAATAAATTACCCTTTTAAGCTATTCCCTCCATAAAAATAGGAAGGCTCTTGCCTAGAAAAACTATTTCAAATATAAAGTTTAGGTATGAACGATCTATTTTTCAGTGACTATTTTTGTCCCAGAAACAGTAATTTTGTTTAATATTAGAAATGTAATGTTTTAATGTTAGTATCAGCCAGGAGAGTATCCAACCCTGTAAGCTCTGATTTCAATTAATATTATGTGATATCAGATCTCAGTCTAAACGCTAATGAAAATCCAAGGTTCCAGTGAAATCAGTAAAATTTAATGTTCTAAAAGATGTAGTCTTCTCCAACATAAATTAAAACACATAAAAATATAACTAAACATCCATTAAAATGAGGCATTCATTACCAATTATAACTTGTAAAATATCCCAAAAGGTGAAATACATGACTATATATAAAGATATATGCATATATATAAAGATTAAAGTGTAATCTTATAAATGTTAAAATTTTACAGAGTAGTATCAATGTTCACCCACTCCAAGAATTCACACTGCTTTTCAAAAATATATACCATTCAGATTCTTCAGTTCTAGAGGTAAAATAGTAATTTTCCCACTTAAATATTTCCTTCAAAGAAGGATGATGGCTGCCAAAACTGTTATTCAAATATTTTGTAAGCACAATATACTTCGAGGGAGAAAAGAGACTGGGGCCCATTTGATTTGATATGCATTCCAAAGCTGTAAAATGATTCTCATATTCTAAAGCCTTATGGCATTGTGGTGTTTAACTATGAGACTCCAGGCACTTTGAGTACAAACACTGACAGGAGAAACGCTGTGACTGCAACAGAAAACTTTCTGTGCTCTCCCAAACAGAAAGTGAACAGAGTCCAGTGGAACATAATATACAACATAATTTACTAACAAGAAGTTAGTGATACTAATTTAATTAGTCCTCAGGAGCTTTTTATAGATTGTAAATCCCAGGGAGCTTGAGACCCAAATAAAGAAGTACAAAGAAAAAAGATGCTAGCCATTGAAGGAAAAGTAAAATATACTTGCCAAACTTACCCATGGGGAAAGCCAAAATACAATAAATATTTTTGACGTGTACTGATTAGGTACAGGTTTACATTTTGGGTTGCTCAGAGAAAGTGATATTTGAAAATGATGATCCAACCCCTTCTTCTTGCCTCACAAATGGAAAACATTATCTGACCTCCACTCCAAATCATCTACCTAAAAATGGCTTTTATCTTTGTCAATATGCCCTCAATGACTGAGAAAGTGCAGGACATTAAGCTGCCACCTTTTCTTGAGGCTCATATCCTTTTAACATTGCGTGACAGTCTTCGACCTTATCTCTAGAAAAATGTACTTACAGACACAACATTTTGCACACAATTTCAGGTGGTTTGCAGATTTCTAGAGTCCATCTACAAATCTGGGTAAAGAAATCTTGCCTAAGATCAAAAATTCATTCTAAGGACAGGAGCAGCCTTAAAAGACTGGGAAGAGATCCTATTAGTCTCCAGAAATCGGAGCTACAAATCCTTTGTTGGCCAAAAAAAGGTCAACTCTCACAAGCCAACAGAGGTCTCGTCACTACACTTAGGAAGTTAATTGGTACCTAAATCCTCTTGGTTTGGGTTTGTTCTGGTGTTGCCTGAGGTTCTTAAAAACATTTTTAGGCTAAGTCTTGAGTTACCCAGGTCATGGGGCTCAACCTAAAAAAGAAATTGGAGTGGTCTAATTCAACCTGACTCCATTTTTCTGGGTATTCCAGTAGCTATGTAGGGGTTTGCATGTGCTGCCATACCAGGCCTACTGGGGAAGTATGCAGTCCCCAGGGGTGTCGTGAAAGTCAATGTGGTTGCCTGACATTCAATGAAATACTGCTGGTGAGTTTTTCTAGAGCCCCAAAGTGCACTCCTCCCGAGATGCCTCAGAAATATCCCCCTGGGCTTCCCTGGTGGCGCAGTGGTTGAGAGTCCGCCTGCCGATGCAGGGGACACGGGTTCGTGCCCTGGTCCGGGAAGATCCCACATGCCGCGGAGCGGCTAGGCCCGTGAGCCATGGTCGCTGGGCCTGCGCGTCCGGAGCCTGTGCTCCGCAACGGGAGAGGCCACAACAGTGAGAGGCCCGCGTACTGCAAAAAAAAAAAAAAAAGAAATATCCCCCTATATTTCACTTGGACTTCCATGCATATAACTAAATGAATATCAGCAAAGCTTTATATAAAATGTCCTTCCTCTACAAAAATCAGACAACACAAATACCTTCAGACAGTGAAAGGTAAATGCCGATGGCTCCCCAACGTGCCCCGCCTACACACTCCCACCTAGGGCTGAGGTGGCTACACAGAAGAGGCAGGCAGTTCCAAGTTAGGGGTGGCTCCCTCCAAAGGTCTCTAAAACCATATGACCAGGATATCTGTCCTGACCTAATCAACAGCCTGTCTCTAATATGTACAAATCATTTGTTGCAAACATGATGATTCAAAACTTTCAAAACATACTTGTTAACATCAAATATGTGTGGGAAATACAAGTGAAGTGGTGGGGGTTACTGAGAAAACATAAAAAAACTTTATTCCTAAGAAATTAACAAATATTTTTACCTTGATGGTTCACCCATCATTCCGCAACCTGGGTTGAAAACAAATTAATTTTTTCTCCTTCTACCCTCTTTATCCCCCAACTTAATCAAGTTGTATCAATTCTACCTTGCACATAATCCTCTATTTTTAGTCTCAAAGTCAGGATTCTAGATGGCCCATGGCCATCTAGAATCTCTTACACCTCTTTACTTTCATGCACTTATTACTAGTTCCACATACTGTACTTTAATTTGGAGTTACCTTGTAGTGAAACTATCCCTCCTAGCAGTCAGCTCTCCAACAGCAGAATTCTTTACGGATCTGTCCTGTTCCTATGTCTTAGGGCAGCATGAGGAATTGAACAAATACTTGTTAACTAAATCAAAACCATTCCGAAAAAGAAGTATCCACTATGCACCTGCTACTGAAGTATCTGACAAACATTTATGGGCCATCTGCAGCATGGCAGAATTAGCAGCCTGGCAGATTTTTTTTTTTTTTTTTCTAAAATAAAAATGGAAAAGGCTCCTAGCTACAAGTTGACTCAGTTCCCAATGGAACATTATATAAAACTCCCCTATTCTGTACTTTGGACCAATTCAGTACTAGATAAAACCTACTTCAATTTTTTTTCCCCTATTTTTAAGAACCTGGTCACATATGTACAGGTCCAACATCCATGTTAAAAAACCCAAGGTACCAACTTTTTCATACAGGTTAACAGCACCCTCCATACACACCACCCAACATGTGGTAGACAGTCTTGCCTTAGTTTTTCACGGTACATTGGGGCTCCGACAGAAGTAATTCTTAAAATATTGTGGTTTTGAGTCAAGCAGCGATTTAACATACAACTTCGTGGAATTGGCAGCTTGCAGTGTTAATATACTTCCTGACTTATCCTACATTCCCCCCAAATAATTCAGACATAAGGGACAGCCTCTTTGCTTATTTTGTAATCATAACCTTAATATTTTAAATACATTGCATGGCACACTATGTCTGTACTAAGTTTCTCCTTCCCTGATAACCAATGCCCCCAAACCACTCCAAACACTAAAAAATAAAGAATAGGGTTCCTAGGGGACTAACTTTGCCTGGACAGACTTTTCTTGGGGTGGAATGCACTGAAAAAAAATTTTTTTTAGGGAAAATTTGGACACCCTTTTCCCAGAGGGCCCACAAGATCTTAATGTAAGCGCCCGCACAGAAACCAGGTCCCCGCTCACAAAGAGACACCCGGCACGACCTCCGGCAGGGCCCGGCCAAGGAGCTCCACTCTCGCAGCTGCCGGGCTCCGGCCAGACGTCTGGTCCCCACAGAGGCGCGGAGACCCAAACGAGGGATCTCGGTGGGACTCACACCTGCACAACCCACGGGTCCTCGCACGGCTCCACGCGTCTTCCGCTCCGCCCAGGACCGCTGCGCGCGCCCGGCCCTAGTCCCGCCAGGCGCGGCGGAGCGCTTTCCGGGCGACACCGGAGGGAGGAGCCCAGCCGTTGCTAAGGCCGTTGCTAGGGCCCGCTCAGCGCGCGCTCCTCTGGCAAAGGTAACGGGCGGGAAGGACCGCGGTAAGGGGTTAGACGGAAAGTCCCGCCTCAGCGTCTCCAGTGGTCGGTGGTGTTGCCCTTTTCCGGAGAGACGGGATGGAAGACCAGGACCCCGCTCCGTGAGACTGACCCGGACCACTAAAGTGGGACGCGGTTCTCGAAACAAACTGTCAAGGTGCAGTTGCAGTGAGTTGTGAAAAATGCGGTTCCTACAGAACACTTCCTCATTTACCAATTCCCAAAATATATTAGTCGTGAGAACTTTGTTCTATAACGTTTTTTAAGGCTATGTCAAGAGAAGTATTTCGTGTGCTGCATAGTAATGAAAGCTGTTAGAAAAATTATATCTTGATAATTTGGTTTGCTTTAAAACTACACACTCGTGTAGAGGTGGGACTGCTTTGTGCACTTTTCCAGTTAGAAATTAAGTGTAATATGTGGGTGGATTATTAAACCCTTTTTCCTTGCCCCACCTCAAAGAAAATCCAAATAGAAGGAATGCATGTTGACAATTGTGAGATTTAGAAACACAGTGACCGGATATTGATTTATTGAATACTCTGAATTTAACAAGTGAGAGATAAAAGACAGAACCTTACCCTAGAGGACCTTACGTATCAAGTTAAGAGTGGGTAGTACAGAAAATACAATATGACTAATAAATTATAGGAATTTCAAAAGAGCTCAGAGTCGTCAATGAAGGTTTATTGGCTGAACTTGAGTAAAGCCTTGAAGAATGATTATGGTTTAGGGCAGTGTTATTCAAAGGGATGGTGTGGTCCATCCATTGGTGGAGGTCCCATTTGTAAGCAAGGAAATCTATTTAGTCACAACTACACTTTTTAAAAAATGAAATGGTCTAGTGTGGAAATATCAGTGCATGGCACTTGGTAAAGTTACGTTTTGCTTTATGGAGTTTTAAATTATGTATGTATGTGCACGTTTATAAAATGGATTTCTCATTGTGTGTTTCTCTTAAAAAGTTTGAAAGCCACTGCTTTAGGGGGAAAGAAGAGTAGCAATAGCAAAGCCTCCAAGCCAATAATAAATAATTCACACCTTTATCTTTTTAAACTAATTTAGTTCAAGCACACAGATTAAAAAGCAAATGATTCTGTTTATTAATCGGAGTGAGTATTGGGTTACTATTGCTATGTGATAAATTACTCCAAAATATGGTGGCTTAAAACAACCATTTTATTATGTTCATGAATTTTGTGTTCAGTAGAACATAGAGGGACAGCTTTTTTTCTGATAACTCAGCTGTGAAGACTGAATGCTAGCAGAGCTCCTGTGTGTAGCCTCCCCATGTGGCCTGGGCTTCCCCACAGTATGGCAGTGGGGTAACCAAACTTCTTAGCCTAGGACCAGTGCTCCAAAGTCAAATGTTGCAATGAACAAGGCAGAAACTACATGTTCTTTTCTAACCTAGTCCCCCAAAGTAACACAGCATTACTTCTCTCACATTTGTTTTATTATAAATGAGTTTCAAGGCATGTCTAGATTTTAGGTGAGGGGATGTAGATGCCACTTCTCAAAAGATTGTCAAGGAATTTGTGGCTGTTTTTTTTAAAAACCAACACACTGAATTTACAGCTGTCACAGAAAACCCCCAAATTTCAGTGGTTTCATACAATAAATTGTTATTTCTCACAAGAAATCCATTGTGGCTATTACTAGTCAGATGAAATGTTAAACTTAAGAAAGTAGGTTTCTTTTTATTTTTAGTGGTTGTGCTGTCTCCTACAACTTGGAGCCACAGCTAACCTGTCAAGAAAGAAAGCACAGTGAATCACACAAAAATTTTAGAGGTCAGCCCTAAAAATGGTGTATGTCACTTTGCCCACATTTCATTGGCCAGAATTTAATCCAAGTTCCCCTCTAACTGCAAGGGAGCCGCAGAAATGTAGAGAAACATACAGGTATTGGTGAGCAGTAACAGTTTGCCACATTCTAAGTTTTTAACCAACACCCTGTAGTCCCCAACCCCTCCTCTTATCTCAATTCTTTTCTTCAAAGGAAAATTCTTTCAAGTATTTTAGATACTTCTGTTATTTACTCCATATGTCAAAATATACTGCAATTTCTTGATTTTTCACTTTCTGAGAGAAGGCAGTGATAAAGCTGTTTTATAGCACCACGCCCAAGTGTGTGAACATTCCTTCTCTGCCTACCCCTACACACTCTTATCTCCTCATCTCTCAATACTGTAGTATCAAAGTTTTTGTTTAAATTAACATTTGTAAATATTATTCAAGCGTGAGCCACATATGATCACATTAACATTTTTTTGGCAGTCTCTTTTTTTTCTTTAGCATATTTATTGGAGTATAATTGCTTTACAACGGTGTGTTAGTTTCTGCATTATAACACAGTGAATCAGCTATACATATACATATATCGCCATATCTCCTCCCCCTCACGTTTCCTTCCCACCCTCCCAATTCCACCCCTCTAGGTGGTTACAAAGCACCGACTGATCTCCCTGTGCTATGTGCCTGCTTCCCACTAGCTATCTATTTTACATTTGGCAGCGTATATATGTCCATGCCACTCTCTCATTTCATCCTGACTTACCCTTCCCCCTCCCCATGTCCTCAAGTCCATTCTCTACATCCACGTCTTTATTCCTGTCCTGCCCCGAGGTTCTTCAGAACCACTTTTTTTTTTTTTTTTTAGATTCCATATATATGTGTTAGCATACGGTATTTGTTTTTCTCTTTCTAACTTACTTCACTCTGTATGACAGACTGTAGGTCCATCCACCTCACTACGAATAACTCAATTTCATTTCTTTTTATGGCTGAGTAATATTTCATTGTATATATGTGCCACATCTACTTTATCTATTCACCTGTCAATGGACACTTAGGTGGCTTCCATCTCCTGGCTATTGTAAATAGAACTTCAATGAACAATGTGGTATGTGACTCTTTTTCAATTATGGTTTTCTGAGGGTATATGCCCAGTAGTCGGATTGCTGAGTCATATGGTAGTTCTATTTTTAGTTTTATAAGGAACCTCCATACTGTTCTCCATAGTGGCTGTCTCAATTTACATTCCCACCAACCGTGCAAGAAGGTTCCCTTTTCTCCACACCCTCTCCAGTATTTATTGTTTGTAGATTTATTGATGATGGCCATTCTGACTGGTGTGAGGTGATACCTCAATTTAGTTTTGATTTTCATTTCTCTAATGACTGGTGATGTTGAGCATCCTTTCATGTGTTTGTTGGCAATCTGTATATCTTCTTTGGAGAAATGTCTATTTAGGTCTTCTGCCCATTTTTGGATTAGGTTTTTTGGTTTTTTGATATTGAGCTGCATGAGCTGCTTGTAAATTTTGGAGATTAATCCTTTGTCAGTTGCTTCATTTGCAAATATCTTCTCCCATTCTGAGGGTTGTCTTTTGGTCTTGTTTATGGTTTCCTTTGCTGTGCAAAAGCTTTTAAGTTTCATCAGGTACCATTTGTTTATTTTTGTTTTTATTTCCATTTCTCTAGGAGGTGGGTCAAAAAGAATCTTGCTGTGATATATGTCATAGAGTTTTCTGCCTGTGTTTTCCTCTAAGAGTTTTGTAGTGTCTGGCCTTACATTTAGGTCTTTAATTCATTTTGAGTTTATTTTTGTGTATGATGTTAGAGAGTGTTCTAATTTCATTCTTTTACATGCAGCTGTCCAGTTTTCCCAGGACTACTTATTGAAGAGGCTGTCTTTTCTCCATTGTATATTCTTGCCTCCTTTATCAAAAATAAGGTGACTATATGTGCGTGGGTTTAACTCTGGGCTTTCTATCCTATTCCATTGGTCTATATTTCTGTTTTTGTGCCAGTACCATACTATCTTGATTACTGTAGCTTTGTAGTATAGTCTGAAGTCAGGGAACCTGATTCCTCCAGCTCCGTTTTTCTTTCTCAGGATTGCTTTGGCTATTTGGGGTCTTTTGTGTTTCCATACAAATTGTGAATTTTTTCGTTCTAGTTCTGTGGAAAATTCCATTGGTAGTTTGATAGGGATTGCATTGAATCTGTAGATTGCTTTGGGTAGTATACTCATTTTCACAATATTGATTTTTCCAATCCAAGAACATGGTATACCTCTCCATCTGTTTGTATCATCTTTAAATCCTTACATCAGTGTCTTATAGTTTTCTGCATACAAGTCTTTTGTCTCCTTAGGTCAGTTTATACCTAGGTATTTTATTCTTTTTGTTGCAATGGTAAATGAAAGTGTTTTCTTAATTTCTCTTTCAGATTTTTCATCATTAGTGTATAGGAATTCCTGTGCATTAATTTTGTATCCTCCTACTTTACCAAATTCATTGACTAGCTCTACTAGTCTTCTGGAAGCATCTTTAGGATTCTCTATGTATAGTATCATGTCATCTGCAAACAGTGACAGCTTTACTTCTTTTCCAATTTGGATTCCTTTTATTTCTTTTTCTTCTCTGATTTCTGTAGCAAAAACTTCCAAAACTATGTTGAATAATACTGGTAAGAGTGGACAGCCTTGTCTTGTTCCTGATCTTAGAGGAAATGGCTTAAGTTTTTCACCATTGAGAATGATGTTGGCTGTGGTTTTGTCATATATGGTCTTTATTATGTTGAGGTAAGTTCCCTCTGGGCCTGCTTTCTGTAGGGTTTTTATCATAAATGGGTGTTGAATTTTATCAAAAGCTTTTTCTGCATCTATTGAGATGATCATATGGTTTTTCTTCTTCAGTTTGTTAATATGGAGTATCACATTGATTGATCTGCATATATTGAAGAATCCTTGCATTCCAGGGAAAAACCCCACTTGATCATGG